TTGACAAGTTTGGGTGAGTAAGGGCAAAACGCACAAGATGCAGTACTTTCAGTGACCTGTAAAAGGCAGTATCACGTCTTTTGTAGCAGAAATAAACTGCCACAGCAAAAGCTAGGTCCATGCAAAATGTAATGTGTATCTGCAACACACATTCAAAAATGTAGTGAAGTAGAGAGTAAAAGTTGCTAATATCTTTGATACTCAGTACAACTACAAAGTACCCGAAAAGATACTCAAGTACAGCAATTAATTAGTATTTACTCCAATACTTTACACCTCTGCTTGCTAGAACACTATGTGTGTATGTACATCTCTGAAAGTTGCTCATTCTAAACATTGGTTTTCCTTCAAAGCACATATACTACAGTGTGGGGACAGTAAGATTTTTTTTTTAAAGAAATTAAAACGAGTAAAAGTTGCTAATATCTTTGATACTCAGTACAACTACAAAGTACCCGAAAAGATACTCAAGTACAGCAATTAATTACATTTACTCCAATCCTTTACACCTCTGCTTGCTAGAACACTATGTGTGTATGTACATCTCTGAAAGTTGCTCATTCTAAACATTGGTTTTCCTTCAAAGCACATATACTACAGTGTGGGGACAGTAAGATTTTTTTTTTAAAGAAATTAAAACTTTTATTCAGGAAAGATGCATTAATTCGATTTCTGAAGGATCATGTGACATTGAAGACGGAGTAATGGCTGCTGAAAATCACAGGAATAAACAGAATCTTACCATGTATTAAAATAGAAAACAGGTATTTTAAATTGTAATGATATTTCACAATAGTAATGTTTTACTGTATTTTTGATCAAATAAATGCAGCCTTGATGAGCATACGAGACATATTTCAAAAACAAAAAATCTTACCAACCCCAGATTTTTTTTACAGTAATGTTACTAAATTAATACACAAAACAAAAAGTGCATTTATATGTTGGAGAGCCTTCATCTCTTTTAGAACATGTCTCTCTCTCAGGTATTTTGCACGTTTGAGGATCTCCATGGCGAAGACCTGAAAGACTACGGTGGCTTGGAGTTTCCACATATTAACTATGCCAGATATAACACCAAACCTTATAGATACTACTATGGTTGTGGCTTCCGACACCTAGTGGGTGACTCCCTAATAAAGATGGATCTGGAAAGCAAAAAGTTCAAGGTGAGAACAATTAATGGGATAATGGTTGATACCTAGGTATTCACAGTTACTATGATCAAATTGCAGAATGTTTGCTAAATAAATTGATTTGCAGGTATGGCGCCAGCCTGATCTCTATCCATCAGAGCCTGTCTTCATTCCTTCACCCAATGCTGAGAAAGAAGACGATGGAGTCATCCTGTCTGTGATTATCACACCAGTTAAGGTACAAAACAGCCCTGAATGAATGTAATGTATGTAAACATAAGCTCTATAATTTATTTGCTTTATAAGAAAATGAAACATGGGAAATTATTAAATTGTATAACATTTATCAATGTGTCTTCAGTCTTAAACCCCTTCTTTCTCTTCTTTCTGTAGGATAAGAGTACATTTCTTTTAGTCCTAGATGCCAAAACATTTGAAGAGCTGGGAAGAGCCGAAGTACCTGTCAACATTCCTTATGGATTCCACGGAGTCTTCAACTCTAGTGCATGAAGCTCTTTGGATCACTCCAACAAAATAACAAATGACAAGTAGCTCTTCAAAAGGGTCACTACACCAGTTGCCTGCTGCTATTAAAAGCAAGACACTAACAGAACAATATATCTATGAAATCCGCCCAAAGACATCCTCCACATATCAACCTCCTATTGTTTTTTTTAAAAGAACGACATACTTTATAGTTACAGTAAATTTTCTGTTTTTAATGTTAATTTTAACATTGTGTTGTTTCTGTAGACCTGTCAGAATGCAATGTAGGCTTTGCAAAGCGGCTTTTATTTATGGGAAGAAAAGAGCTTGTTGAATTCTGTGGGTCAGAAAGAGGATGGAAATCGTAATGTAACACTAAATTATGGGTTTTGGTGCTTAACATTATGGTGAACCGCAGGGGGAAAATACTTTAAAAAAAAAAGTATGATATGACCTCTTTACAACGAGCAATGTGATAGTGTTGAAAGCACATCTCATTTTGATACATATGATTTCTCTACATATTCAATTATTTTATTTTCTTCTGTTTTTATCTTTTACATTGTGGACTGCATGTTTATATCCCAACATGAAACGTTTGCAATAATTGCAATTTATGTTATTTGCTCAGTATAGTATCAGTTATACAAGGCTTGTTTCTTTTACTCTAAAAACAAATGTGAACATACCACTAGATGTGAATGTGAGCAAGGTTAAAATTTTCCATTAGGATTTTCAGGCCTACTTCCTTAAATGAGAAAACCAGTTCATTACATTGAATGTTTAAAAAAAAAAAAACAGATGTGCCACAATAAGAATAATTCATGTTGATAGTTAAATAACAAAAAATATTCACTATACAACATGTTATATTGTACTAATTTTCTACCTCTTTGTGAAGTAACTTTTCAAAGAGCTGCTTCTCTTGTGCATTATTCCTTTTAATTTTAAATTTATATAACAGTTCTACATATGTTTCATTATACGTTTTTGTTTTACATTTATTTCTAATTGTAACTTGGTAATCACAATGACTGATAAATATTTGTACACACAATACTTGTATGCTATCTGCTACATGGTTCAATTCATACAGTCCACTTTTATAAAAAAAAAAAAACATTCATAATGTTTAAAAGCAAAAGGTGTCCCCGTGTCCAGTATTTTCCACATCATTTCACATTCTGATATAAGTTTGATTAGGAAATCTTGACACCATGATCATCCTGCAGAAACGGACAGCAATACATTTCTTGCCCACTAGGTCGCAGCAGACAATCATAGCAGGTATGCTTGAGTTTGGTTAGAAACCCAATGTAAAAACAACTAAATGCATTTATTCTATACAACACACTACATATTTGAAATACATCTATTAACAAATAGTGCATTCAGTCAGTTAATATAAAGACATTCAATGTGTGCCTAATGTGTGAGTGTATATGTGCTCTTGCACATAGAGTATCTCTGTGGCTCGGCTAAATTGGGAGCTCTCAGATATCCCCTAATCCCTGCACATCAAACAGCAGGCAGAGCAGAGCAGATGCAGACAGACAGAGGCACTGCTCTCCTGTGGTATCTCGACCTGCCGGATCTTCTTTCCCCGTACACAGTGCTGTTATTGTCCCTGTATCTGTATGTGTGTTTGTGTGAGAGACACACCATAGGTTGTTTGTCCCTGTGTCTCTCCATTCCTATCTTTTTTTGGGTTTAAACGCTGACTGGTAGCAAACAGACAGTGGCCTGTGGACACGGATAGTACACATCCAGACTTTCTTGGTCAAAAACAGAAATTCCAAAATCCATTAGGATTTTCAGGCCTACTTCCTTAAATGAGAAAACCAGTTCATTACATTGAATGTTTAAAAAAAAAAAAAACAGATGTGCCACAATAAGAATAATTCATGTTGATAGTTAAATAACAAAAAATATTCACTATACAACATGTTATATTGTACTAATTTTCTACCTCTTTGTGAAGTAACTTTTCAAAGAGCTGCTTCTCTTGTGCATTATTCCTTTTAATTTTAAATTTATATAACAGTTCTACATATGTTTCATTATACGTTTTTGTTTTACATTTATTTCTAATTGTAACTTGGTAATCACAATGACTGATAAATATTTGTACACACAATACTTGTATGCTATCTGCTACATGGTTCAATTCATACAGTCCACTTTTATAAAAAAAAAAAAACATTCATAATGTTTAAAAGCAAAAGGTGTCCCCGTGTCCAGTATTTTCCACATCATTTCACATTCTGATATAAGTTTGATTAGGAAATCTTGACACCATGATCATCCTGCAGAAACGGACAGCAATACATTTCTTGTCCACTAGGTCGCAGCAGACAATCATAGCAGGTATGCTTGAGTTTGGTTAGAAACCCAATGTAAAAACAACTAAATGCATTTATTCTATACAACACACTACATATTTGAAATACATCTATTAACAAATAGTGCATTCAGTCAGTTAATATAAAGACATTCAATGTGTGCCTAATGTGTGAGTGTATATGTGCTCTTGCACATAGAGTATCTCTGTGGCTCGGCTAAATTGGGAGCTCTCAGATATCCCCTAATCCCTGCACATCAAACAGCAGGCAGAGCAGAGCAGATGCAGACAGACAGAGGCACTGCTCTCCTGTGGTATCTCGACCTGCCGGATCTTCTTTCCCCGTACACAGTGCTGTTATTGTCCCTGTATCTGTATGTGTGTTTGTGTGAGAGACACACCATAGGTTGTTTGTCCCTGTGTCTCTCCATTCCTATCTTTTTTTGGGTTTAAACGCTGACTGGTAGCAAACAGACAGTGGCCTGTGGACACGGATAGTACACATCCAGACTTTCTTGGTCAAAAACAGAAATTCCAAAAAAAAAAAAGAGAAGGACTGACTGAATGAATGAATGATGGAAAGCAGTGGCGGGACGTAAACCAATACACTAACCAGGTGGTGGCCACAACAAAGACAGCTGTGTGTGTGTGAGTGTGTGCGCGCCTTGTTGCCCTGCAAATCCCACTCAGACACCTGCACTCAAAGCTTCCCACTGCTGAACCTCCACTTCAAACAACTACCGACACATCGAGCGGAAACACATATTTATGGAGAATGGAACAAAAGTCTGAGAAAGAAAGTATAGAATAGTATTTCTTTCCTAACACTAACTCATGCAATGCAGTTTTGAGAAATTTTCAGAAAAATAGTACTGCAGGCACATGTACTGAAATGTCTTTATTTATAACTTTGATGGACAAATGTCCATATGTGTATCATTATAATACATCTAAAATTATAAAATGACCTCCATCTGACTAGATGTCACAGACCAAAACACTAGATGTGAAGTGCTGTATCAGAACACATATCTACAGGATAGTCTTGTCCAGTGGTCTTGTAGATACCTGGTATGAAGCTGCCGTTGATGAACCGAAGACTGTAAAATAACTGTTTATTAATTGCTTTGAGAATATAATGCAAAACAGCAAAATTGCAGAGAGAATGTAATTCAATAAATAGGATTCAAAGTCATTAAATGTATGAATATGAACCAAAAATGAACTATGTTTTTATTAGAGAAAAATCTCAAATCTGGTTTAAAAGTTGTATATACTGTATTTATTTGATAAAATCATTTTATTCAAAGTTTTTTTTTTAAAAATAAACAATGGGCTTCGCCTCCTGTTGATGAAACTGTTGTTTCACCTCAAACTTCTGGTGAAAATAAAAATATGTGCTAAATACATATTGAAGTTAACTTTAAACCAAAGTTAAGAAGCCAAATTTTAGTTATGTTTCATTGTCTCACACTTTGAGGTCGGTAAGATTTTTTTTTCTAAAGAAGTCTTTTACGCTCACAAAAGCTGTATTTATTTGATCAGAAATCAATAAAAACATTAATATTATGAAATATTATTTGATTAGATTAAACATTTTGATTAGATTTACTGTATTGTGATCAAATAAATTATTATTCAAATTCAAAATAACTCTGTTTTTTATATTTTTTAACATGTCAATTATTCCTGTAATGTCAAAGCTGCATTTTCAACAGCCATTACTCCAGTCTTCAGTGTAACATGATCTTTGAGAAATCATTCTAATATTCGGCTCAAGAAACATTTCTTATTGTTATTACTATGCAATGTATTTACAATACATTAATTTAGTATACATGCTTTTATAGGTCAGTTTTATACAATGTGTAACAGGGGGTCTCTGCTTCATCTCTCATATCCACCAAGGGGTCCTTGGCCAGAAAAAGGTTGAAGACCCTGGGTGTTGAAGATTAGAGAAAAATGCCTCTGTCCTGTGTCTTACATTATGTGCCAAAACATGAGGACAGGGAATGAGGGTGTTTGCAGCTTAATACCCTTCAAATATATGAGTGTATATGTGTTCTTTCCATTTTGTTGGCAACAAATGTCTTTAATGTCTTCAGTTTCAGGCTCAAACTGGGGAGCGAATACAGTGGAAACTTGTTTAACAGCAGGCATATGAGTTGGTCACTTCTCATATTTACACTGATGGCACACATGAACACATTTACTTGTGTACAATAATACTGGATGCAATTGGATGGATTGGAGTGAGACGACAGTAATATGTAATGCAGAAAGCAGAAAGCTTAAAATACTGAAAATGATAACAAATAATTTCAAAATGACATATTTCTGTTAATTGTGTATGTACTCATGATACGATATGTCATAAAAAGAAACACAAAGTTCTTAAAAGATGACAATAAAACGATTTTCCCAGTAGTAGTTAAGCATTTGCCACTTCAATGTTTATGCAAACATCTTAAAACACATTTTCACTTTTGTCCACTTATACAGTGTAAAGCAATGCATATGCATACACCATGCAGTCCAATCCTGAGGTATCAGTCAGCTTTATGAATCTAACAAATACCTTTTCCACAAAAACATTTAGCACACAACATCAGTCCTGCTGGACATTCTAACAACACGCTGCTGCTTAATCATATGGTTACAACTATAAGACAACAAGACATTCCAGTGCTCTAGACACAACTGCAATAGCCCTTTACACCTAGATTTGTGACCCAATATACAATGTAGTAAAGAAACATGCTTTTAGCCCTGTTGCTAACACCTAGTACACACCTTGAAATGACAATGAAATGCAAAGGAAAATACAGTAAGACTTATAAGAAGACATAAATGGCAACATGGACTCTATCCTTACCATTGTTTTATCAATACATTTTACTCCCCGACTTATTATAACCCATAAAACATGGCTAACATATTAATCAGGTCTTCTAGTGTGGCCCGCTCTCGCTCTCGCTGATACCAGAGCTCTCTGATTGGATAATGGAGCTACTTCTCGTAGCCAATAAGAGAGGCCTGCACCTTTTTTCTCCTAGCAACCTTTTTTCTCCTCGTTTCCTTTCAGCACGACAAACGAACACCCATAATATTACAATACGAATAATGGGAACTGCGCAGCTTTACGGAGGAGAATTTCTCTCTTTTCTGCCATTCTGCTCTGTATTTTAACCCCTGCTGGTTCCTTTCAGATTCCCGCTCATTCTCCGTCATCCCCTTGTTTTCCCCCTCTCATCTTTGGCTTCTTCCTCTCGCACCCTTTCTCCTCGTTTTTTCTACATTACCTTCATTTAACTCTTGCTGTACCTCTCTATCCTTCCCACCCCTCTCCTCTGCTCTCCTTAACTCTTCCTCCACCCCACCCCCACCTCTCTCCCTCTCTCTTGGCTGACTGTGCGTCTCTGGTAGGGGCACACAGCCGGCTCCTGTTTCATGCTCTTAAAGGAGCAGCATGTTTTTCATTTCACTGAAGGACTATGCTGAGGGATTCTGGGTAACAGCATGCACTCGCTGACCCTGGGAGAGGTTCTGCACAGGCAGCCGCTGTGGAGCAAACATCCCGCCAAACTCTTACACACACACACACACACACACACACCTTACACAAACTACACACTGCCTGGAACTGAGCACAAAATTTATAGTCAAATACATAAATCAGACATACAGCAGTGCAAAAAAGTATTGGGACATTAAAAATGTATGAATGTCAATGCACTTGATTCAAAATATCAGATGAAATATGAAGTAAATGACAGAATAAGTTTACTTTTCACTTTTAAATCCAAAAGGTGAACAAATATAACATTTCATTTGAAATCTGCAAACAAACAAAACAATAAAAATACTATGCATGTTAGTCACTCTTACAGTTAACTGAGAAAC